CCTTCCCTTCCCTTCCCTTCCCTTCCCTTCCCTTCCCTTCCCCTCCCTTCTGCTATCCCTATATATGCTATAAGGGTGTGGATGTAAAATTATTAATATTTAAGATTTGAAAGATCTGGCTCAGAAGTTTATCCCAATTGAAAGAACATTCCCTTCAACTAAAAGCTAACAGTCTCTGACTGTTTCCAACTCCTCACTCCTGAGCTAAGACAATAGTGACTGGGTCACACCTATAGGCTCCACCAAGACCCATCTCTCCAAATTGTCACTATATTTACTGTTTGATTCCTTCTTAGAATCGTGGCAGTTAGCAAGCTCCCCAGGGGTGGATACGTGGCTTTGCTAACATTGAAATAATTATTTTGCTCACCTCTTTTCTTTTTTTCTGAAACAATATATAGGCTGAGTCTCTGCAATCACTTGGCAGAGAACAGGGGAGCAGAGGGGGAAATGCTATTTGAATGTCCTCTCACCATGATCATAGTTAATAAAGCTTCTATCTAACCTGTCCTTAGTTGCACTTGGGTTATTACACACTCGGAGTCCCCAGACTCTCCAGCACGGGACAGTTTGAGCCCTCTGCACTGACAGCACCAGCTCTGTCACAGCATTGTGCCATCGGGGCGACCATAGGGAACAGGAGGGACCTCACTCATGGTGTGGTCAGAAGATGTCCCATGATGGTATCTTGCTTGCTCAAGAGCACCCGTCTTTCCAGTTGGGCTCACCTGGTTCCTCACCCAGCAGAGAGGATGGGAAGGGTCCCAACCACTGCCTGAGTCCCCCGGACCATCCCTGCTAAGTGCACTCAGCCAACGAACCCAGCAGCGCTGCCTCATCTCTTCCAACCCAGCTCTCCAACCCTTAAAACAACCAATCTCAGGTGGTATCTAGCTGGAAAGAAGTCAGTTTTGTAAATTTTAACCTGCCACGGCACTGTTGAGGTGGAAAGCAATCAAGCAGCAGTCGTGGTTCTCGGCACCCAGAGAGGATTTACATTGCACTGGCAGCATGATGGGCATTTTTTTTACCAAACAAGTCTTTAAAAAAGTACTGGCCAAGCATCAAAATATTTCTCAGTAATATTAAGGGCCTTTAGCAGCTGTGATTGAACTGTGAAGCAACCCGATGCAGGCAGAGGACCACACAGCTGGAAATTTGTGCCGCAAAGGCACCATTATATGGCTGTTAAGCTGTTGACCTCTCTATGTTGTAAAGCAGTTAAACCAACACAGCCCTTGGCTCACACCACGTGTCGGTGAGGCACAGTGTTTGGCAGCAGCAGGCTGACAGCAACAGGGGCTTCAGAGGAGCCAGGAAGAAATAGAAATAAGGAGAGGAGGAAAATTCGGGTGGAGGAAGAGCTGCGTGTTGGCCGTCACAGCCCTGTGGTGGGAGAAGGTGGTCTTGGAAACGGAACGTGTAGGTTCACGTGGAGTTGCATCCTCCTCTGGTTTGACATGGGCTGCGATTGCCATGCACATATGGATCCTGTGCATCCCACTGCTGTCGCAGCTGGTGGTTGGTAGACCCTTAAATCACCCTCTTGCAGGAAGGTGATATTCTAGGGAAACCTAAACATGGAAAGTTTGGACTATATTGATAGCTTTGAATGGGGAAATAGGTGTCCCAGGAGGATGGGCCACATGCTGCAGGCTGCGTATTCTTTGCCGTGTATCGCTATATGTTGAAGTAAGCTCCATGAGGTGCTCCAAGAGCAGCCCCAGCCAGGCAAACACAAGCTGAGCCATTTTCCTAATGGAAACATAGCAAATCCACGAGGAAGAACTAAAATACACTTGTTGGGCTCAGTGCTCAAAAATTTAAAGAAATGGGGAAAATCCCCACAAAAATAAGAAGGTTCCTGGCTATTTCTTTGTTATTTCCTTCCATTCTCTTCTAACGGTCAATGTTTATTCCTCAGAAGCTGATCTGAGGAGGCAGGTCCTGCTGCGGGGACGTGCAGTGGGAGATGCATCCAGCTGTGCAGCCTGCAGCTGCCTGTCCAGGACAGGTGTCCAGAGGCTGCTGCTGTGAGCTGTTTTTCTGGGTTAGAAGCTTTTTTTCTGGGTCAGAATCTATTTTAGAAGAACACTGGTGACTCTTTATCATCAGGAGGGTACCAGGCAGAGGTGGACAGGGTGGTCATCCCAGGTTGGTGGGGCTGTTGCCCTGCCCAGTGGTCCCACCCTCCAGTGATACTCCAGCTCCTGAAGCTTCCCAAGAAATTTTGTCCTGGCAAGAGCAGTTCTTTTGCAACAAGTTTATGTTAGGACTTACCCAATACTGTCAGATTGTGCGTGTTATACTGTTTTCTCTGCCAAATGATGACTGTGTGGGGCTTTCCATTGCTACCAGACAGACCAAAGAGAACTAGAGAAGTTGTAGCTCTCACGTTGGTGATAAAAGGGAAGCTGTGGTAGCATCTTTCGCCTTGCTTGCAGCATTTCCTCCTGTTTTTTCCATGAAAACTCTAAATTCTGGAGTCTAGTTTCTGTACTTTGTGGTTTTTTAGTGCAACTTCTCAGCCGTGAAGGGATGCTGCAAGGCTTGAATCCCAACAGTTGGAAAGCAACAAGCCAAGTAGCAAGAACTAGTGTTGGATGTGTCTTCATTCAGGTGGTGGTTCATGTGGTTGCATAACTTGATCTTCTTTCAGACCCCCTCGCTGATGTGTGCCCATGTCTTAGTCTTGCCAAGTGGCTGCAAAGAAATGGCTCAGTGTTAATAGGAAGAAACCAATGGGACATTTTCCACCTAGAGCCAGAAAAAATGTTCATGAGTTTGTTTCCCAAAGATTTGGGTGATCCTTTTTGAGGATATGGACTAGCAAATTATTGCTGCTGCCTGGTGAAATTGTTTTTTTCCCTCCCTGATGGGCACAGCTCTGCTGTGTGTGGGGTTTTTTTTCATCTAAAAGCAGCCGTTTTGATGAGAAGTGGGTGAGTGTCTCGTGAATGAAACTAAAATCTGCCAGCCTTGCACGTCCTCTTGCTAAGCAATTTGCTGCTCCGCTGCATTTGGAAGATTGCACTGAAGTTGCTTTCCTGGCACTGGGAGCCAGTTTGAGAATCAGTGCAAAACTAATTGGTTACAAATCTCAAAGACACCAACAAAAGCTATTTTTAAGCCTTTGAGAAGTACGGTGTGAATCAGACCGTTCAGAGGAAACATTGCAGGGGTTTCTTCCCCCTATTCCAGCCACCAGATTCTCCAAAATTGTGGGATCCTGGTGCAATTGGCTGGCTGAGATTGAGCATGTGCCCATCACCAATATGCAAAGCCTTACAGGGCTGTGGTCACCTCCCAGCGAACATCATGGAGATGCCAGCACACCGCTCGCCTTGCTGCCTCTCTTGGGTTACTAAGGATGTCTGTGGCTGTTGGTTCTTCCTTCTTAGGGACATCATGTGCTTCCTCATGACCCAACCTCTCATTATCATATGAACCCCAAAACTGGTGATTTAAAAAAAAAAAATAATAAGGTAAATCTCATAAAAAACCCCAAATGTTCACAGCCAGGGCAGGACGGTGGAGATCAAATCCCCTTCCTTGGCATCCTTTGGTGCAAACCAAGGTCTGTGTTGGGTAATGCAAGAGCGCTGGTAACAACCCACATCACCCCACTCATCCGCGTGGGCTGTATCCAACTCATGTTGTTCATGCGTCTCTCAAACCTTTCCTGTCTTCAAAGGCAGCCTGAACAAACTCAGATGTTTTCAGGACTACACTTCGATATAGTCCTTCCTTCCATACGCCATGGAACTGAGCCCTCTGCAAGGCAGCATAGCTCAGTGATGGGGAGCAGCTCCAGGTGGTCCCTCACTCTGTGCATCCCTCCTGCAGGCACCAGGATGCTTGTGCAGAGCCCACCCCAAAAAAAACCAAAACCCTCCAGTGCATGGGATGGGGAGTTACACCCGCACGATTCTCTGTGTAATATAAGTCATAGCATTTAGCACATTATCGTTGTGGCTGTTTACCCTCCTGTGGGCTCCCAACTGTATTTGGTGTGAGGAGAGCAGAAAGGTCACAGTACCCAGTGTCAGGGCTGATGACTGACATTTATTTTGCCAGTTTTCTTCGAACATCGTAACCCCCTGAGTCTGTTCCCTGGGTGGTTTGACCAAGGGCATTTAAACTGAGATGAGATTGGTGTGGTCGGTATCTGCAGACACAAGCTGTGATGCTCTCCAGGGTTTCTCTGAAGGGTGGGATACCCAGGGCACTGTGTCCCAAGCGCCTGAGCTCCTCTGAGCTGCTGGAAGGCATTTCGGCACTGCGATTGCCAGTAATGCCACCCCGCAGATTACCTCGCATCAAGGAGCGAAGGGTATTCGGGTCTTGGGAGCGCAGCTGGGCTGTAGGGTAGGAGCAAGGTTGCTTTAAGCCTCAAGACTTACACTTCTTGGGGTCATCTTAAGCTACAATGATATTTCGGTACTTAATTCTCCCGGATAACCAATGGGACTTGAGTATTGAACTGATGAACCGAGCTGAGTCTACGCACCTCTTGCAGGGATGTCCTGAGCAGCATCCCAGAGCATCCTGGGGTGAAGGGTTGTTGTGTCCATCTGTGTCAGCCTGTGCCTGGCCCTCGCCTGAGCAATGGGGGTTCATGATTCCTCTCTTCTTGGTTTCAGGCATGGAAGAAACGCTGGTTCGTCCTGCGCAGCGGTCGGATGAGTGGCGACCCCGACGTCCTGGAGTACTACAAAAATGACCACTCCAAGAAACCTTTGCGTGTGATCAACCTCAATTTCTGCGAGCAAGTGGATGCAGGTCTGACCTTCAACAAGAAGGAACTGCAAGACAGCTACATCTTCGACATCAAGACCAGTGACAGGACCTTCTACCTGGTGGCTGAGACCGAGGACGACATGAACAAGTGGGTTCGCAGCATCTGCCAGATCTGTGGCTTCAACCAGTCCGAGGAGAACACAGGTACTGTCCATGGCCAAGAGCATCTCCTGTTCTGTCCTCTCAACAGGGCCTGACTCCTCTTTCAGATCAAACCTGTGGGAGGGGGGTGAAGCCCCCACCCCAAGGCTGGGAGGGCTGGAGTGGGAAATGGATGGACACATGGGAAACCTCCATGAGGCTTTCCTACCTTTGACATGTGAAAGCAGAGCAGGCTTTGCCCCTGTGAGCCACCTAATTCATTTTTCCCCCCATAACTGTAGACCTTTGAGTCTCTTCTAAGGAGCTGGTGGGGTTTGGGGAGTTTTTTAGCTGCAGCCTTTGTTGTCATCCATCACCAATGTCCCTTTGAGAGTCATGGGAACCAGCAGTGAAAATCCCTCTCTTTCAGAAGTTTCAATCCCTTGGTGGATTAGGGGAGAAGATTTACTGGGACCATGTCCCTCCCCACTGCAGTTGTCCACACTGCTGACAGGCTTTCACCTGAAGGACAGACATCCTCCCCACCTCCATCCCTGTCTTCTCCTGGGACCGGCTGGGAAAACGCTGGGAGGGGAGAGGAAAACACTGGGTGGTTTTGTACAGTGGTGGGACCTGTTCCACCAGTCGTGCTCCACCATCCAAACTGGGCTGCACTTTGGCAAGCCTCTGCGGTGGGCACCGGTGAGGTGCCTCCACTTTCCTGGCACCACGAGGGCTCACACAAATCCCGAGTGAGATGGGATGGGGGGGTGAGCATGGGGTGCAGCACTGCGATTGTCTGCCGGTCCCATTACACCTCGTAGCACCTCTGGGCATCTTCACTTTATCTCATCCATGGTCCTGTCTCATCCTGGGGACTCCAGTCCCTTGCTCTGTCTACATGAAACTCCCTATAATAACGTCCAGCTTGAATCTGTTTTGGTCCCTCGTGGAGCAGCTGCCATCCGCGGGAGCTGAAACCCTGCCAAGAGCTAGTCAGGCAGGACAGCAAACAAAGCGTCACAGCAGCGTGGATGCGATCTTCACTGACTGACGCATGAAACGGGACGTCACCTTGGCAATGGGTGTACAAGTGGTAGAAAGGGTCCTTGATAACACCGCCAGCGCGGTCTTTCAGGGAAAGGTCAGGCTAAATAAATTACATCCCGTTCTGATGTCAGCAGCGCAGTCCTCGAGGTTCAGCGAAATCGTTCAGGTCCCTTTTTTAAGAGCTGTTTTGTTGCAGGATTTTCCATTTTACGTGTGTTCAGCTGGGGGACCTGTTTTTCTTCCCATTTAGTAAAATGAGCTTTCAGCCTAGCGGCAGCGGGATCAATACAGGGCTTCAGTGAAATATAAATCTGGGCAGCAGAAGGAAAAACAATCTCCCCCTTGCAAGTACATCTGTCCCAAAGGGCGCATAGGGCTTGTCAGGCTGCAGAGATCCGAGCGCTATTCCCTGCAGGATCATGGAGTGACATCAGCAAAAGAGGAACAAAAGTCCCTATTTGTAACAAAATCACAGCTTAGGGAAAGTACCCACTTGAAACAGTACCCAGCTGCCAAACTATGATTTTTCTGAGTAAGCCGAGAAAAAGCCTGCAACGACGAGTGCAGCAGATGTGCCCAGATGCTGAAGAAAAGAAGGAGCATGAATTATTCAGGGCTGGTGCTTCGCTTTGGTGCTCGCCGAAGCAGTGACCCCACGCTCACCTTTCCTTCACCGTCCCTGCTAAGTAATGGCAAATAAATCATCGATTTCCCAAAGTAGATAATGTTTGTTTGAAGGACCCATGGCCTGAGGCTGGGCGGAGAGGTTGAGAGATCGTTGCAGCATGATGGGTATTGGGAGCCTTGTCCATCTTGGTGTACATAAGCCCATCACCCATCCTTCGTGATGGGTCAGCTGGGGGGAGAAATAAAAATTGTAGCAATATTTTTAACTGCTGTGCTCCTTCTTCATCACCTCCTTGAAGCCGTGGGTTGATGGATGGGAGAGGATGAGGAGTTTGCTTGAGATTAAGAGTTCCTGGGTAGAAACAGAGCTTGGGACATCTGGCATTTCTCTTAGACCTTCTAACCCCTCATCCTCAAGTTTCTCTGTGCCTTGTTGTGGCCTCTGCCTTGGAGAATGAATGAGTCAGTAATTGGATGCACCAAAAAGGGGAGGAAAAGGTAACCATCATGGGCAGGAATCGCTCCATGCTAATTGTAGCAATTAATTAACTAAACCTCCCTCTCCCAGCAGACAGGCAGCGTGGTGGAACGAGATCAGAAACTGCCAGGGAAGCTGCCGTGCACATTTTTCTGGTTGTACTCATTCCTGGGTGCGTGACTGTTTTATACTGACCTGAAAGCCTGGCTGGGTCTGGCCCCAAAGCCGGACCGTTCCCGGCTGGGTTATATCGCATCCCGGCTGGGGAAACACTCCATCACTGGCAAAGGCATTTACTACAGCTGCCATCACATGCTGAATTACCTCCTGCTCGAAGGGATACCTGGCATCGGCTGAGCCCCAGCCACCAGTCACAAATTTGCTTTTAACCCACCAGTGGTGGAGGAAAAACTCATTATCTTTTTGGGACAGTTTGGGTAAAAGCCTAAATCTCTAGCTCCTCATGATGGTAAGGAAAAGACGGGTTTTCAGTTGCTTTTTAGCATGATTTAGTAAGAAAACAAGCAACTCAAAAGCATGTGGTGATTCAAATTAGCTGTGAACCCTCTACACTGGCATGGGTCCATGATTGGGTGCTGCCCGTGCTCCTAAAAGGCAAAAAAATTAAAAGGTCAAAGGGATTTATACCCTTTGGTGATTCTTTCTGTTTGCAACTCGATGGGTGAGTGTAAATTTTTGGTCACTTGGTTTTCACATTAGTCCTTCATGTCCTGTCTAGACTGGGGGACCCTAAGGATTAAGAAATCGGCTGGCGTTTAGGGCGGTTTAACGTCGTGCTACGGTTAGCTGCTGGTTCAGCTGATCGCCGTCTGCATTATACATCTGGTTCATTGAAAGGAAGCTCGTTTCAGCCTCAGGGACCTAGATGTCAGTGAAGTGGCAGGTACCGCCGGCTGCCCCGGCTCCACAAAGCCGCCGTCGTGGCTTCATTCCCCCCCTCGACCTGAAAATAATTGCAGAGAAGCACGATTACATCTGCCGGGAGAAGGGAAATTAAATTGACTCTAAAGTGTTTACCCAGACTGTGGCGAAGCTCTTTGTTTCTGTTAACACCTATTTACTTTGAGAGCTAATTACTATTTTTGAACAAGTGGAACCTCGCAGGATCCTGGCGCTTCTGTGGGTCCGAGGAAGCCGATGATGTTCAAGGAAAGTAGATTTGCTCCTGGCTCAGCGTTGCTTTTACGCTGCAATTTGCACTGCTGCCACCTCAGCTAACTCAAATATGGTGGGGGGAGACCTGACGGGGACCCTGAGCCCCAGGCGACGGGAGAAACGCAGGCGCGTGGGTATTTCGAACCATCTGCATTTTCCCTGCCCTAGTGGGCAGGCAGCCAGGGCTCAGCTGTGAACTGGTTTTTCTCATATGCTTTGTTTGTTGGAGTTAAAAAAAATACCAAATCCCACTAAACATATCTCGTGTGCTATTAACCCTTTCCAGAGCTGATGCTTCAGCCAAAACCCCACCTTGTCCCATTCCCGATATGAGAGAGGTGCAACTACGGCAGCACATAATTTAATTTCTCGTGAAACAATGCGTGTCCTTGCAGTGAGCATGTCCTTACAGGGGTCCTGTGCACAAGTTAGTTATTTTGGAGAGGTCGATACCTTTATTAACTCTGCCCTAATTTACTGTGCCACTCCCAGCACCTCCCTGGAGCTCCTCTTCCACCTCCTCCATGGAGCAGGGGCTTTCTCAGGGGCTTGGATTTGCGGGTACTGAGCAAACACCCAGGAGAGTTTAAGAGCTTATTTATTCACCGCATTAATGACCCTGTGCTAGAGGTTTAACCCAGCCATGGAAGCAGGGAAGGGAATATTTGTGGGTGAGTAAATGTCCTTGCTCTGAGTTGAAGGCTCCCGTCACTCGGAGAGGGTGAGCGGGCCGTGGGAAAAGGATGGCACTGGGCTCCTGCCCCAATGGTTTGTGTCCAGCAGTGGTGGCCTCTCCCACCCAGCCCAGGCATGTTATCTTTTTTTTTTTTTTTTTTCATCTGGGACTTTATTTCTTTTATTTATTTCTCCGCTTTCTGCCAGAGACCTGCGCCAGGGAAATCCTGCGCTCAAGTTCACTCCTTATTCCATCTCCAAAGCTCGATGCTGGCATTTTGCATCGCGGCTGGGATTGATCCCCAGCAATCCCAAAGCTTTTACTCTCTAGTCAGATGCAAGTCAGGGCCGAGCATTAATGTTTAATAGAGAGCTGAGTGTCTCTCCTTCCTCCTTCAATTCAGCTGCGCACACTCCAGCAGAGTTTACGGGATCAGCCTCCGGACACCAGTCACTTTCTGCTCACATTGATGACAGCTCCTACGCTGCACATGCATGGTCTCCACTGAGAGTCTCTTTGGTCTCCACCGGTTTCCCCCTTCCAGCCCATGAGAGCAAATTTATTGCTTTAGCTCCCACTTGACTTGCTTTGGCTGGGGGTTCCATATGGGTCACAGGCTGGTTGCTCCCCAACCTGCTGCCTGCTCACACACGCTGCCTGCAAATCTGTGCTACGAGCCCGTATGGCTGCTCTTGGTCCCTCCTCACTTCTCCTCCAAAACCGTGTTGGTCCCAGCATCAGGCCAGCAATGCCTCCCACCCAATCAATTCCTTGCAGCCAGGTGTGCATGGATGTTTGCCAAGAAAAGAGTGCTCAAGGTGGGCTGGAGAAAAAAAACAGCACAAAGGTACCCCTGAAGACTTGTTGGGAGGACAGGAGCTGCCCAAAAGCCCAGCAAGGAGGCTGCAGGTAGCAAAACTAGAGTAAAAACATACGTTTGCACATCATACACCACTCAGCTCTCCCAAACACCCTCGCATCACCAGTCTTCGCCATCCCTGCACGCAGGAGTGGGGCACCGGGGAGCCCATGCAAGGTGACGGCCCTGGGGCAACC